AAAATTTTTTTGTAGTTTTATACACAAATTGTTTAAAACTTGGGAGGGAAAGAGCATGTCTGATGTCCTCATTTCGGAAAAACCAAGGCGAATTTGTAATCATACGTAGAATTTTATTTTCAAGTCTTTGTATGATCTCGAAATTCGACGGAGCAGTAGATCCCCAAATACGGCTCGCATATGCAAGTATTGGACTCAAGTAAGCAAGATAAATGAATTTTTTATTTTCCAAGGACATAGTAGAATTCCTACAAATGAGTGGATACAGTACACGAATGCATCTATTAAATTTTTCCCTAATATAGTTAATGTGAGGAGCATAATTTAGTTTACGATCTAAGATTACACCCAAATATTTAGTTTGCCCAACCCTGGATTTGGAAAGGAAGAAGGGCTCAAGGAATTTTAAGAAAAAAAAATGCCCACTAGATAGCGCTTTTTATAGGAAAATATTAAATTTAGCAAAATAAACGACCAACACGGAATACATAAATAATTTGAACAATTCAGAACAAAATTTAAAAACAATAAAGTGTGAAACCGAGGAAAGCAGGTCTAGGTATAAAACATTTGCAGAAGCTGTCATGATGACTGTATCTTTAATTTAATGTAAAGTTGTTTTATGAAAACAAGGGGAATTGTGAATTTTGTCTCATAAAGAAACTGCGACAGAGACCAATATCTACTAATAAAGGTGTCCGGACCATGATTCGAACATTTGCAGAAATTAGGAGCTCAACCTGAAGTTGGCCCCAAACCTGTCACACCGAAGTTGTTGATGTGAAGATAGCTATTATCAAATAGTCATAGGTATCTGACCGTGCAAGTAATGGCGCACTTGCAGTATCCCGAGAGACAGGCTTTCCTTATAACACCGTCTGAAAAGTGCTGCGAAACATAATACATTTCTTCCTGTACAACAGAGGTCTTCCAAACTACGGCCCGCGGGCCAAATCCAGCCCGCGACAGCGAATGGCTTATTGTTGCTGTAATAAGTTGGATAAAAAAACACACAAAACGATAATAACTTGGTTTTATTGACTTGCTAGATAAAGCTTAATGACAAGCATAATACGCAAAAAATTTAACTTAAGCGTAACAAATAATTGAAATGAATCCCACTAACATTATAAACTAGTGAACATCCCGCGGTTACCCTCGTTAGTTATGTCGGTTTAAAGAGTATCGCATACATATGTATGTATGTCGGTGTTTGGAATGTATGTATCCTGAATCAAACATATGATTTTTATCCTGAAAATCCCTCAGGAACGGAAAAGCTGAATTAACGCGAATGAAACCGCGGAGTATCCACTAAAAAATCCTGTACAAAAATACTAATGAGATTTATGTAATTGTGATTTTTCACTGACAATAGTTTGTAGTTGCGGATCAATTTTACTTAATTTTATAGATCAATTTTATTTGTACCAATTATTAAAAGAGATTTAATATGCTCATCGGTTAACTTAGATCTGCAAACATTATTCAGAAGTCTTGAAGTTATAAATAATGGCAGAAAAATTAAAACGGTTTTGGCCCTTGTACTTACTGGAGTAAACAGTATGGCCCGAAGGCTGGAAAGTTTGGAGACCCCTGCTGCACAACATCTAACGAAACCAACAGATGCTTGATAGGGGCAGCCCACAACTGCCAAGTTACATTCGCAGTTCGTTTTCTCAACAGAATGGCTGATTATCTGTCATGGTCGTGTGATATTTTGTGAAGCAACGAAGCTCATTTCTACCTCAATGGGATACACAGAATGGTATTTAAGCAAGGAAAATCTGCAGATTCACAATGAAATTCTCCAAAGGTGATTGGTATGGATTCTCTTCGTCATTCAACCTTGGGCCTTAGGTTAGCACAGGTAGTGGTTTACATCGACCATTTTCATGCAGGATGGGGCCCTATCGCATGTCCATGGATTCATGAACGCATTTTGCTTAAATACATCACGGATAAAGTGTTATTTAGCGTTACTGTATTAATCCATGGCAACCAAGTTCGCCTGATCTAATTCCATGTCATTTCTAGTTATGGGTCCCTTAAAAAAGTCTGGTTTATAGTGGAGATAGTGATTTTAGATGATGTAAGGAATCCATTAGACTTCATATGCTAAGCATCACAACTGATCAATTACGATTTGCTGTTGAACACATTGTCCATCGCCTTGGAAATTTACAGGCGAAGAGTGGTCACATTGAGTACTTTTCATTACATCGTTCAGGACACGATTTAACAAGTCGGCAGAAACGTTCGTAGGCAGACACATAGATGGCGCTACTAGTATTAAATCCATGTGATTTTTAGTTAGCCCTAACCTTCAAAAGACACGTGTATAAATTTGACAGCTGTTGCACTATTAGTATGTGAGTTATAGCATTTTTAGTGAAGCAACTTTTGTTAGTTTGAAAAAATGGATAAAAAGGAATTTCGTGTGTTAATAAAGCATTGCTTCTCGGCGAAAAAAAATACTATTGAAGCCAAGGCTTTGCTTGATAAACATTATTTGGACCAGGAATCGTACAGAAGTGGTTTGCTAAATTTAAACGATGCGAAATGAGCACCGAGGATGATGCACGCAGTGGACGCCCCAAAGATGCCGTTATCGACGAAAACATCAAAAAAGTACACAAAATAATTTCTGATAACCGTAAAGTGAAGTTGATTGAGATAGCTGAGACCCTAAGGATATCAAAGGAACGTGTTGGACATATCGTGAATGAATATTTGGATGTGCGAAAGCTCTGTTCAAAGTGGGTGCCGCGAGAGCTCACAATCGACCCAAAACAACAACGAATTGATGATTCTAAGCAGTGTTTGGAGCTGTTCAATCGTAATAAACCCGAATTTTTGCGTCGATATGTGGCAATGGATGAAACATGGCTCCATCATTTCACACCGGAGTGCAATCGACAGTCAGCCGAGTGGACTGCACGTGATGAACACAAATGCTATAACTCACATACCAATAGTGCAACAGCTGTCAAATTTATACAAGTGCATTTTGAAGGTTAGGGCTAACTAAAAATCATATGGATTTAATACTAGTAGTGCCATCTATGTGTCAGCCTATGAAATTTTCAGCCCACCTGTTGTAACTGCTCTTGTGACGGGTTCCTTTTGTGTACTTTTATTTAATGTGGTTCGATGACAAAATGATCAAAAACCAGTCAATGAATATTCAAATTGTTTATTTGTTCAAATTTAATGCTTGTCCATGGCAGTGCCACCTAGTGGATATTTTTGAACTTTTTATTTTACTTCAAAATTCTTTTAGCGCATCTCGTGTATAGTCTACATTCCAAATGTGATTATAATCTGTTCTCTCGTTTTAATACCCCTATAAACAGCATCTGTTGCCTCGGATGTTGTTTATAGGGGGTTTAATTATAACCATCCGGTATTTAATTGCGTGAGTTATTGTTAAAACTAGGATATCTAAACTTTTATTCATTTATGGCCTAATTATGTAAACCTTTTTGACATCAGATAACAATAAGAATAATCAGAATCTTTATTTATTTTAATAATGGATTGCATGTTTAATTTATTAGATTCAGAGTTTTTGGAAATGATGACATTCTGTATATATTGTTCTGTTTTATTTCGATTTTTATTTTTAATTTTATTTCATTGAGTCTCATTTTTAGTTTTCCCGTAATTTTTACGTATTTAATTAAATTCATTAAATACTTCAATAATTCTTGATAATATAAATTCTTTTTGAAATCAAATCACTATACTTAAAAATTAATTCCTTTATCTATGTTCCATATGGGGCCTGAATGGCCGAGTGGCTGGCGCTCGTACCGCAGGGTTTCGAGTCCCGGCGGTGCCATGGATGTTTGTAGTGGTTCGGAATCCACTTCAAACGTAGGTCCCGGTCCCCTAATAGGATCGTAGAGTGTTGCGGGGGCATTGTTACTCCGCTTCCGTGGCTTATCTTCAAGTTACATATCCGCCTAGGTCATGCAAAGTGATAACGTCTGTGCAGCGTTGCGCCTTAAGGCATCAAGACCAAGCTGTCTAAGTGTTTTTCCAGCTGCATTAGAACAAAAATGTTCCATATATAATTTTCACTGTCAATATGACTTTTTTTAATTTTTATAATAATAGATTTACCCCCACCTGAATTCTGACCAAGTCTATTTGCATAATAAATAATCAATTTTGCATTATTTTTATTTTCTAAACCTTTTGTTTACCTAATTTCATCATATTAAAAATAAGTACCTTTATATATGATCAATTTAAAATCTTCTATTAAAATAATGATAAATTATCTTACTTCGTTCATAACAAATATTATTTACAGTGACTCATATTTATAAGTGAACATATTGATAAATGATGTAAAACATAGAAACTCATATCACATAGAAACATTCATATTTTATAAGTAAACATATATGATGTAAGGCAGGGGTTCCAAACTACGGCCTCATGACAACTAATAGCTTATTGTTGTTGTGATAAGTTGGACAAAAAACACAGAATGATAATAACTCGGTTTTATTGACTTGCTAGGTAAAGCTTTAATGACAAGCATAATATGCAGAAAATTTAACTTAAGCATAACAAATAATTGAAATGAATCCCACTAACATTGTAAACTAGTGAACATCCCGCTATTACCCTCGGCAGTTATGTTGGGGTAAAGAGTATCACGCATATGCATGTATATCGATGTTTGGAATGTATATATCCTGTTGTTGTTGTTGTTTCTTATCCCACTTGGCTGGCCAAGCCCACGAGCCCATATGGACTCATGATTGAAGGGGAAGGAAGCAGCTTCTGTTGGGATGGAGCACCCGTAGGTAGAAGCCTGACTTTTGCTCCGTGACGCTCTTACATTCATAGAAGACCGGGACCTACGGCTTAAAGTGGATTCGAACCACTACAAACATCCATGGCACCGCCGGGATTCGAACTCGAAACCTGTGGCACCGAGCGCCAGAGCGCTAGCACTCGGCCATTCAGGTCCCAAATTTGCCAACGGCACGCAGTGTTCCCAGGTGGTCACCCACCCAAGTACTGACCGCGCCCAATGATGCTTAACGGTGATCTAACGAGAACCGGTATATATCCTGAATCGAACATATGATTTTTATCCTGAAAATCCCCCAGGAACGGAATAGTCTAGAAATTACAGATAATTGCAGAAAAATTAAAACGGTTTTGTCCTTGGTACTTACTGGAATAAACAGTATGGCCCTAAGGCTGGAGAGTTTGGAGACCCCTGATGTAATTAAATAATGTAGGATTTTTCAGAAAATAAATATTACGAACTGGAATTAGTAGATAGATATCTAAAACACACATATAAAATTAGGGCTTATTAATTTAATAAATTTAAAAAGTAACACAAGCTGTTGTTTAAATGATGAAACACTTAAAAAAAAATTAAGTGCTTTAAAAATATCTTAAATATTTCTTATTTTGTAGGAAAAAAAATGCAATGATAATATTTTAGATAATTTAAAAAGCAATAAGTTGAAGAAAAAAAAACTTGAACAATATTGGAATAATTTTCTGATTAAGAGAAAAAAATATATTTTTAAAAAATCGATTTTAATAAATTTAAAGTTTTTAGTTTAAAAAAAAGTACTTAGTTTAATTTCTTTACTAGATGCTTAAGTTAAATTTTTATAAAAAGAAAGAATGAGAATTATTTTAAATGCTAGTTCGAGCCGAACCACGAAGCAGAGTCAGCTTTGAACGCATGTTACACAGCTATGCATATAAAGCTATGCATATACACAGTTGCAAACTTCCTCACAAAAACACATATCAAAGATCAGGAAGTAACTGCAACTTCTGATGTCAGGAACTGCAACAAATATTTAAAAAATGCCAAATCTCTTGATTTAGGTCAGATTATAATAAATTACTAAAATCATTTCCCCTTCACTATGTTTTTGCAAATATCTATTTGCTGAACTTCCTATTGAATACTTGTTATTTCCCAACTATTTGGAAAACTGATATTGTAGTACCGATTCCTAAATCCCAATCTTAATTTGGAATATCCTCAAAATTATCGTCCGATCTCACTCTTCAATAGTTTGAGCAAAGTATTCGAATATGCTATTCTTGAACGCTTGAAATCAATTTCCCGCAGAAAATAATTTGATCATTCCAGAGCAATTTAACTTCAGAAAACAACTTTGTTTGTTTTGTCTACCAGCTACTTAGTGTTACCAATTTAATTTACAATCTATTTAACAATTGCAAATCTATGGTAATATTTTTTGGATATAGCCAATATCAATATCCACTGACAAAGTTTGGCACAGTGGCTTAATATCGAAAGTTATTAGTTTGGGATTTTCGACACTACTTCTCAGGATTATTCACTCATACCTCTTCTTACAAAATTTTCATGTCTCAGTGGAAGAAGTTAGACTAGGGATGGACAAACTACGGCCTGCGGGCCAACTCCGGCACGGGAAGGTTCTATCCGCCGGTCCGAGGCAAATTAAAAGAAATATATATTTATATATTATACATCCATCTCCTTTTCTACTTTGATTAAATATTAATTTTTTTTATTAAAAAAATTACTATTTTTAATATTATTATTTTTATCTCATTTCCCGAGGAAAATAAAATAAATTCAATACCCTCAGTAAATGAAGAGAAGCTTAAGAATTATGAAGATAGCTTGAAAAAACTGCATTTTGAGTTCGAACGCAGATTTCAAGATTTCAATGCCATTCAAACAGAATTGCATATTTTTACCATGCCTTTCAACGTAAATTGTGAAGCAGCGAGGTTAGATTTGCAGGTTGAATTAATTGAGTTGCAATCTAACAATCAACTCAAGCAGTTGTTTCTAAATATGCCAAAGTTAGAGTTTTACAAATCATTATCGAAAGTAAGTTTACCAAATTTAATATCAATACTATGTTTGCTTTATCTTATATAACCTTAGAAAGAATTATTTCAGAAGTAGACTAGCAATCATCAAAACTTCAGCATTTAGCCTCGTTCCTTAGAATCTCACTTCGAACATCAATATGAGGAATTTTTAAAAATGAAATCGCAATTTCATTCATGTTAATATTCTATTAACATATTTAAATTGTAATACTTGTATATTGTTTGTAAAATTTTAGAAAAATTTATCTTGGCCCGACAAACTTCTCTTTTTTCGATTTTTGGCCCGCGAACGAAAACGTTTGCCCATCCCTGAGTTAGACCAATCAGAAGCGGTGTACTTCAAGGCAATCTTATTGCTCCGACCCTCTTCTTTTTAAATATCAACAATCTCTCACGTCATCTCCGTGATGATCTCCATCTATTTGAAAAAGCAATTGAGTGGAGGAATAAAATCAAATATTTCTGCAATAAGATTTATAGGTACTTACGTATTAACGCTACCGCAGCGGTTTTAGAATTTCAGGAGCGAAATATTTTACCAAAACAACGAAAATGCCCCAATTCCCATGACATGAAACTTTATTTTGTAAGTTTTGACATAAGACACATTTGACATTTAAGACACATAATTCCAGCATGTAATTGTTCCAATTTATAACAGTTTTATCAGATAAATCAAATTGCTTTTCACAAAATTTAATCGACGTCAACTCCTCGCACCAGCAGTATATGGTTCTCAAAGCTGAACAAAATGGAATTCTGCTTCCCTCAAACCAGTTGTCTTTTTTAAGTCCCACTTTCTGATCACACTGTCATAAATTACATTTCCAAAACTTACGTTTACCAAAATAAAGTTTCATGTCATGGGAATTGGTACATCTTTTTTTTTTTTTTTTTTTTTTGGTAAAATAATTCGCTCCTGAAAAAATAAAATTGTATCTTGCTCTGTTTTTGGCAAATCCCAAATACGCATTTTCGTAGCACTAAAAAATGACTTCAAAAATCAGGAAACAACAAGGCATCAAGGAATCAAAAAAAGATAACTGCGTGCCCGTGCGAACAACAAGATTGCTCTTTACTGGCTCATTAGCGCAACTTCGGCGTTAATACGTAAGTACCCTTGTAGTTGTTATAAAAATGCATTTCGAAAGCATATAGATTTTGCCGAAGAGAAATTTTGGAATAAACTACATCTAACGTTTATCCCTCATGGCAAATATTCGAATCTTTCCCTCCAAAAGAAAGTAATTCTTTTCAAACCCATTCCCCCCTTTTACCCATGTTCTCAAAATCTTTCGACCGGCGAAGAATTTGTCTGAAGGTAGGGTGCACTTTTCTTGTGCACTAATGATGTAATTGAATGATAGTTTGTTGAAAATGCCAAAGTGAGGAGAAAGTGCACAAGAGAGGTAAACATCGAACCTTAATAAAAACACATTAAAAAAGAAAATGGACTGTGATGATGATTAAAAGGGCAAACGTAGTGTGAATTGTACTGGTGATTAAAAGGCCAAACATAATCTAAACTGTGCTGATAAAATTCATCTGATAAGACTAATTGTAAATATGTGTTTATTGTAATTATTTGTTATTTTTTTATTGTGTATAATTGGTTCATTAATTATTTTGTTTGTTTCTATGATTTTGTTTGTGATATTGATATTTAAGTTTATTTAATTCATTATTTAAAATTATTTTTGAAATTAATTATAGTTTATTAGACTTATGCAGCATTCAGTAAAGAGCAATATTTTTTGTGGTTAATTAGTGATGGTAATATTTTGTCATTTGTGAATACGTAGCATTAATTAATGGTTTTGTAGAATTAAACAATGTATTAATTTGTGCAAAGCTAGTGCTTGATTTTAAATTGTTTAAATCTTTTTTATTTTGTATCTTTTTTTTTTTTATTAAAAAAAGTGGTATACACCTTACTTAATTTTTTAGGTTAAGCATTTGTATAATGTTTCAATCTTGGGGGGGGGGGTTGTGTATGGTACATTTCTAAAAGTCTCGATTCAGAGTGGGATATAATTAATTTAAAATAATTTAATAAGAATAAAGAAGAAGAATTAAGAAAGAATTCTAAGAAGAATTAAGAAAGAATTCGAAGAAGAATTAAGAAAGAATTCAAAGAAGAATTAAGAAAGAATTCAAAGAAGAATTAAGAGAGAATTCAAAGAAGAATTAAGAAAGAATTCAAAGAAGAATTTAAAAAAAAACTCTTAATGAATTGAAGAGGAATTCTAGTAGTGAGTACACTTCGACAGAGAGAGAAGTGGAAGTTTACGCTGAGGACATAACGAAGATTGATGCATAGGTCAGGTCAAGAAAAATTAAAAAAAAAACGTCTCTTGACGCGTAGGTCAGTTGCATTATTCGTCAGAGAGAGTTTGTGCTGAGATCTAATAAAAGTTAATTGATAATTGATGCGTAGGTCAATTGAGTGAGGTTGAGAAAAGTTAACTTGAGGCGTATGGCTACTATCGAGGCATGAATTAGCATCTAGACTTAACTAAATTGTGTCAGTAATTATTGTAAATAAAAGTGTATATATAATCTACAAAAACCTGGAAGCAGTCATTTATGGAATAAGTATGTGTGTAAACGACAGAAGAGCATTATAATTTCAAAAAATTAAATAAAATAAGGTGGAAGAGAATCGCCATTACCCTTACCAGATGAAAAATATTAAGATATACTACAGTGTCCAAAAAGTAAGACCCATTTTCAATTTAAAATTCCCGCGGCTTATGGAATTTCAATTTTTTTTCTTTTTTAGGTTGCTGGCACTGTCCTTGACATTTGTGTGAAATTTGACGTCAACATTTTCATTAGTGTTTGAGTTACGCTTAGCTTTGTGAAACGCTAAAACTGATTCCGGCGATTTTTGAAATGTCTCAATTAATTGAGCAAAAAACTTTGCATCAAATGTTGCTTTGAAATGTATAGAATGTTGTAGAAGGCATCGGTGAGCATTCTTATATCGGAAAGAAATGTTTACAAGTGGTAAAAACAGTTCAAAGAAGACAGAAAATGCGTTGAAGACGAATAGCTCTCTGGTCGACCACCAACCTCAACCAACGAAGCTCACGTCCAAAAAATTAAAGATTTGGTGCTTGCAAACCAGCGATTTACAATTAGAGACCTTGCTGATAATGTTGGAATTTCAAAAGGATCGGTCAATTCCATTTTGGGCCTC